CTCCCAGTCTTTTGGGTGCTGTAACTTTCTTTTATCAAAAGCAAGAATTCTTCTCTAACCACCTGCACTTCTATGTGAATTTAATTCCTTGTATCTTTGACCTTAGTACCATGTAGATATAAGTGGATCTACCTTGAGACCATAATGTTAAGTGAAATAAATCAGACACACAAATTTAAATATCACATGGTTTCTCTTATATGAGAAACTCAAAATAGAAATAAAAAGCAAAACAGAAGATAGGGACTAGGAAATTGGGAGACAGATGTTTTGCAAATGGGAAGAGGACCAAGAGATGGAGCGAAGAGAGACAGAATGAAAGCAAAACTGGGATGTGTTATGTACATCTACGAAGTCCCCATGAGGAATGTAAACATTATGCATTGCAAACATGTCCTGAAAAAAAGATGCATCATTGTTTGTAGCAGAAAAAGCCTTGTTGTCCATTAAACTGGCTTGTGGGTTGAGGGGAGGACCTATTTCAGAAGATGAACTAGGAAACTCACCTCATCTAGGCAGATAGCCATGCTCTCTGTCCATGTGGAAAGCCTCATTGCACCTGCATCAAAAGCCCTAAACCAGAAGCTCATGACCCTACATGGATTTACACTGGAAAGACTGACAATGTACTTAGGTAGTGTTTTGGAAAAATATTTTATTCCTATTTTCAACACTTTATTTTACTTTTTTTTTCTTTTTGTGGTGCTAGGGATCAAACCTAGGGCCTCTCTTATGCTAGGAAGAACTATACTGCTGAGTTACATGCCGAGCTTCACTTTACCTACTTTTAAGATTCTACAACTCTCACAATTCATGGAACACATGAGCCAGGGAGTCCCTGAAACCAGATGTGTCCAAATGATTTCTACAGAACATGTACAGTATTACAAGCAACCACCAACTCCACCCACATGGTGTTATGAAAAGACTTTATGCACTTCACAAGAAAGCTTAAAAGGAAGAAAACAACTATAAATAGTTTAGAAAATAAAGAGGGCTGGCTTCAGTTTAAAACACTCCTTGTCTCAGGTAGTGCTGGTCACCTTTCCCTGCCTTCAGGGTTTCATGCAAACAAATCACTCCATGTGCAAGGATCATTTCTAGTAGGGGAGTGAAGCCTGGTACTGTGAGATTTTCAGAAGATACATCCTTTCCTTCTTGGTCAGAGCCCAGAATGAGAGTGTGACTTTGTGTGTGTGCGTGTGTGTGCATGTGTGCACCTGCATGTGTGTGTATGCATACTCAAGGTAGAGGAGGCAAGAGGAAGAGTAGTTTTTACAGTGCAGCCAAGTGTTATGCTAAGCTAAAGGTTTATGACAGAGCTAAGAGGTTGCTTACTTCTTATTTAGGTTTTGGCTTCATGGAAAAGTATGAATAATATGAAAGAAAGCCCATATCCTATAGCATGGCATATCCTGTATAAAAACCCCAGAGGACTGTGTTTAACTTTTCCTTTCACTTAATTTATTCCTTAATCCAAGGGCCCAGTACAGTGCTGACAGTAGCAGACTGGGGATCACAGCTAAAGTACACTAAGTCTTTGAAACCCCATAAGCTAAAGACTTAGGGAGAGGGAATGATGCAAGGAGAATACGGGACTGGGGGTAGGAGACTCTGCCACAAATAGCTATGGGATCCTGGGCAGATTTGTTTTCTCATGGGGTATCAGTTTCCTTTTCTGTAAATTAAATTGTAGACCCAGTGATAGCTAAGGTTCTTTCTAGGCCTAGAAGCACATACAGTTATGCAAAATGAGGAGACTAATACCCCAGGCTATCATTTTCAGATTAAAGAAACATACTCATTATGTTATATTCACATAGTCAGAAAACCCTGCTACTAATTTATTTTGAGAGAACAAGTAGTCGACTTTCTAAAATAAGCACATACCAACTGACAGTGGTCCTACTGAATGCTATAGATAAGGTAAGCCTATCTATGAAAATCCTAGAGGCAATACTGGTATTATAAAAAAGACAAAGGTAGAAACCTGCTTCCTCCTTTTTGGTAAGGATTGTGTTCAGGCTCGGCTAATCTGTGTTAGTTACTTTTCTTTTGCTGTTGAGACAAAATACCTGAAGCACAAATTTGGAAGAAAAAATATATTTAGCTCACATTTTATAGAGGTTTCAGTCCATAATCAGTTGGCTCCAAAGCAGGGTGGCATTGTAGAGGGGCAACCGTTCATGGTGGCGGAAGACGGCAAAAACAGTAAGAGCACAGGAGAGAGAAGCAAGCCTCCTTTTCTCCCCTATATTCTATGCAGGTTACTCACCCTCGCGTGGGTGTAGCACTCACACTATCTCTGTGCCCACCTCTTGCACAGGCCCAGGATGTTGACAAAGTAAGGACCCTGGCCCCCTGCGGAGTCACTTAGTTAAACTTCCAAACTTCTCAAATTGACATGATGAACAACATCCTAGAGCGTAAGGGCATGTCCTCTACACCCTAGGATGCAGAACTGCTGGGTTACTTAGTTAAGCTTCTAGACTTCTCAAGTTGACACAGTGTATGACACAATTTATGTTTTTTTTGCAACGGGGGGCTATTTTCTCATAATGTATGAGAACAAGGCCAGAGGCTCTTAAATTCCTTCTAATTTTATTATTCATGAATGATCCAAATTTCTTCTGTCTCTTACAATGATTTAGATGCTGATGTCAGTTTTTAGGTACTAAGCATTACTAATTGAACATTTGCAAACCAAATACCATACATGTATATTATAGGGATTTCAACTGGGACATTCCCTCTAGAAAGTCAAGTTGCCTTTCCTTTTCTTTTTCTCCAGAAGTGAGAGTAAAACTCAGGGTTTTGGCACTAAGCTACCCCAGTGCCCATTTCTTTCCTCTTTTCCTCTTTCCTTTCCTTCTTCCTTTCCTCCCTTTTCCTTTCAGTCCTTCTCTTCCCTTCCTCTCTCTTTCTCTTCCTTCCTTCCTTTTTCTTTCTTTCTTTTACTTTCCTTCCTTCCTTCCTTCTCTCTCTCTTTTTAATTTTTTTTTATTTTAAAGAGAGTAGTACATGAGAAACAAACAAAAAAAATAGAACAGTAGCAGCATACCAGTATCACAAACATAAATCAAAGCAAGAACATTCAAAGTGATACAGGGTCTCAAGACCCTTCTCTCTTTCTAACTTTCTTTCTTTCTTTCAAGACAGATCTTACCAAGTTGGTAACCTGCCTTGACTGGGGTTGAACTTGTGATTCTCCTGCTTCAGCTTCACAGAGTGCTAGGATTACAGGTGTGTGCCACCAGGCTTGGCTAGGTACAATTGAATCTCACTTAAAGGATTTTCTTTCTTTCAATTCAATCTCCAACTATTGCTTTATTCCTTCAAATCTTTATCTGTTCTGTATGCTGTACTTTTGTTTATCATTTTTGAGTGTAAAGATTTGATTAGAATTACTACTACCTTCAAATAAGTATATTCACTTTATATAGTATTATAGCTCCTCATTTAATTTTCCCAGTCTTCCACTGCTTAATTAAAAGCTATTAACAATATATTTTATCAAATTTCTTCTATTATATTATTTTTATACATTCTATTTTTTTTAAGATATCAGCACTTCATAATTTTTCCTGCAGTTTTACTCTATAAAATTATTTAAATTTCAATAACTGATTTATTTCTATCCTATAAACCCAATTGGATTTTCCCTAATTGCTACCCAAAGCTAAAACATTTCAAGATTAAAAAAATATTTTATATCATGAAGGCTAGCAATTCAACACAAAAATTGAGAGTGGAAATAGGTTAATTTTTACTACATTTGCAATATATCTGCACAACATATTCTAGGGTGGTTCTTAATTGTTTCTTTCAGATTATAATGGAATGCATCAAAATAATTTTCTGAAATGCAAGGCTATCTGCTTTATTGTTTGGGTTTGTCAATCTCAGGGCTCCTGGGAGCTTTGGAATGAGAAGGGACTGCTCTTCACAGCAGCCAGTGACTTAGGCCTCATGAACCTGCCACTTTCCCAAGTCCTGCCAGCTTCTTGCCCTTCCTATGCCTACCTAATATACATGAAAAATAACTTTGCAGCCAAGTAGATCCAAGAACAAGTTTAATTTAAACACATGGTTTAAATTCTGCAACAAAGATCTCCCACTGGGAAAAGGAAGTGAAATTTCAGATGAAGTGCACACAGGTGGGAGTGAGATCAAATTCTGTGCCAGAGCAGGGAGCAGAGAATCAAAGAGTATATGTGTGGTTCATCCAAACAGTGCACAGCTCATTCTGACCATTTATTAGGCATCCTTTTCGCCCTTTTGCCCATTACTACCTGTTTTATTTTTAAAAGCCTGGTCAACACTGATGAAGTCTGGAAGTAATATAGAATATACAGGAGGCTAGTGCAAGGAAGAGGAGCACATTATATGCGAGATTGACAGATCTCACTCAAAAGGAAACTACAGGAAAGAAAACTTGGAAGACATTTTGAGTTCAATAATTTTTTTTTCCTGGTAAATTAATGTGATTTCACAAGCAAGGGACAGTGAAATTTTATGGTTTGAGAAGTAACTGATAATGAGGTGCCACAAAAATTCTTTCCACCAAAACCTTTAGACACCCTTGTCTATTTAGAAGAACACTGTTCATTTCCAATCAAAACATCAGTGTTAATACAGTCAATATCTAGCAATTAAGAAATGATAAGGCACATTTTCTTCCTGGATTAATAGCAAACCCAAGGCTTTCATCCATATGTTCAAGTTTTACCAGAAAAGCAAGTATTTATTATTATTACTGCACCCTGAGCTAAGGGCTTTACTCTTCCCCGTGATGCTGTTAAGTAATAACTTGATAAGCAGGAATCTTTAGGCAATTTAATAACTTTTCAGAAAGGACTTCTAAATGGGTAAACATAAGGTCTTACAGCAGCATATTAATTAGTGTGGGCTAGTTAGAACACATGTCCCACTGCCTTTGTGTCCCCAAGAGGGATTGCTCACAAAGTACAGATCAGAATAAGAAATGCTTCATTGCCTACCTGACGTAGAGGGAGCGTTTCTGATTGGTTCGCAGGGACCCGGATCCGGAGCTCATGCTGTGGTTCATCATCTGCTCTCGTAGGTCATGGATTTTGGCCTCAAATCGAGCGTAGTCTGGGAATGGAAACAAAGATGGCAGATTTGGTGCTGGTCCTTCAGAGAATTAGAAGTGCCGCATAGCCATGGCAGCTGATTGTCCTGTCACTGGTTCCTCTGCCAAGCAACACTGAGGTGCTCAAATCAAGAAGAGTATACTTGTTTATTATTTTTTTATTCACAAATATGCACAAGAAGAAAGGAGAAATTCATTACTTTTAAAAAGTTACCTAGAAAACATTAGTTATTAAATCCCCAGCTTGTGAAAGGTCCGTGGTGGGTGGGGGTAAAATAGGAATGGAGAGAGGGAAGAGGGGTGGTTGTAGTTATAAACAGGTAACGCACAGCATCCTTGTGGTAATGGAAATGTTCTCTATCACGGCTGTAGCGGTGGATATAGGAACCTGCACACGTAATAAAATCACAAGGAACTAAATGCATACATAAACATACACACAAATGAGGATAGGTAAAACTGAGAAACATCTAAATAAGTTTGATGGATGTGTCAATGTCAGTATCCCAGTTATGATGTGCTAGAGTTTTGAAAAATGTTACCATTGGGGCAACTGAGTCAAAGGGCATATGGGATCTCCTTGCATTATTTCCTGCATCTGCATGTGAATCTACAATTATCTTAAAATTTCGCCTTTTAAGACTTTTAAAAGAAAAGTCCATGGAATTCTCAACACTATGGGTGTTGAGAGTGTACAGATACCCTCAGCCTGGCAGACCAGAGAATCAAGTGTTTAATGTTGAATTGAGTAAGAAATATTTAATTTAAATATGTTAAATTCTACCCCCAGGGCTGTTAGAAGTTGACCACTAGTACTCACACCTAAATTTACTCCATAATTTTATCCATATATTGAACTTTCTTAATTCTAAGACACACAAAATATTTAAGTCAGCTTTTAGGAGGTTAAAGTTAAAACACATTATCATATACAATGTTTTAGAAATATTTGATCTTCAAAATAAGGTTCTAAAAATACAAAAGTATGGGTATTACAGCATGGTACTCATAGGAAAGTATTTTTGTCATGTCACTCAATAAAGAAATCACAAGTGGATATTAAGAAATTATTAACAAAATCAGCCTGCAAAAAGAAATAGTTTTTGAAGTTTAATATTCCTGATCACAACCTACAAGTTTTCCTATCATTGACTTGGGCAAGCTATATTTTGACTTAGGAAAATCCAGTAGGTGAGAAGTTTAACTTATTTACTTGAAGATAAATTTGAAAATGTTAATTCAAATTATAAATAGTTCTTTTAAATTACAAAGAAACTCACCATGAAGAATTTTAATAAAGGTGCTCAGTACATTTTAAACAAACAATTTGATTTTCAATTTAATTTATTCACAACTTTTCATGAAAACCAGGATGACTAAATCAATTTAATAAAAGATGATCTACTTAGAGAGTGTTTCAAATTCTTTATAATAAAAAGTTCCATGAAATTAGATTAAATTTCAGTTTACTGAATATTGGTTATTATAGGGTAGGGTTTCCTAAGAGATTTTATACTAGTTTTCAATGACAGACAATAGGATGATAGCTCTGCAGGTTACATATATTTAAAGGTTAGTCCTTTAAAGATAAAGGCATAATGGTTGGTTAGTAATTTCCAGTGCTTAAGCAAAGGCTAGTATTATCTAGATTTGGTAGGCGTCCTGTAAAATTTAGCTTTGAATAATTACATCCTAAATGCTTAAATAAGCAGAACATATATTTCACATAAAATGGACCATAATTTAAGACAATTTATTTCATTCCACTTTACTAGCAAGAGAAAACATTTATTTATAACAAGTGATATGGTACTGCACACAGATTTAAATCATTTTGAGCAAGTCCTATTTTCTTGCCATCCTAAAAGAGTCCATTAACATTTATTGCTGGCCACACAGCAGACATTATGCTCTACGCTGCATGAACAGTATCTCATTTCTTTTATAAATTACAAAATGAAGTCCATGGATGTTGTGAAAATTTGAACTATGTAGAAAAACAATAAAAAACAGAAAAGGTCTGCTTGTGTCAGCCTTTCCACAGCTTCTGTCTCACCTTTGTCTTTCCTGGAATCTTACCCTGGAGGAATGTGTGTGGCTGTATTTGGTATGGATATATGTATACATTTGTGTATGTGTATGCATATATTTATGAGACCATATCTATATCTTCTTTCCTAACAGTATAAATTGGATTTTTTCCTTCCTTCTATCAGATGAGATTGGGCGCGTTCAGGATGGTATGGCCATAGACACCTCTGTCTATCAAATACATAAATATCATTTTCCTTCATACTCTCAGTTGTATTCTGTGTTAAGACTAGTTTATTTAACAATTCCCATATCATTAGCTATTACGTCTGTCCAGTTTTCAGCTTCACAAATAGGGATCTCCACGTATAAGGTATAAGTCAGTGGAACACACATCGGAAGTACAGGCAGTGCTTTGCATGGAAACCACACAGGCCCTGTTAGCACTTCTCAGAGAAAATGATCTGTTCTGTAGCACAGAAGAGAGCTCTTACCTTCCTGCCCCATACTTCATAGTGCTACTTACTAAAGTAAGTATCTGCCCCATACTCCATAGTGCTACTTACTAAAGCCCATGGATCACCCGAGTATCCCAAATCTCTCTGGAGACAAAGGACTTTTTCCTTTACAACTCTGATGACATCAGTACCCATAATAAGAGTGAAATTTTACCATTCTGAAGCACTCCCCCAGCATCTGATTCAGCCAGACCCCAGCCCCGTGCAACCAGTCTGCTACTCCGGTGCCTTCTCTGCAGACATGTGCAGTTACCTGTGTGGCTGGCCTCTTCCCATCAGACGGGGCTGTCCAGGGGCAGATGCCTCATCTCTCTCTCCTTGGAATTCTGTGCTCCTAACATAGTTTCTGATGTGCAAGAAACTTTTTAATAGGTGCCCAGTAAAGGTCTTCTGAATGAGTGAATGGTGAGGAAGGAAGCACACGGACTCAGTAGGTAAATTCAGTGACAAAGTGGCTGCAGACACTGAAATTGCCCATTTTCAATATTATGCTTTACAGTGTAGACAACACACATCTCTTGTAGTACCTCCTTCCTCAAGAATAAATATTCCAATTTCAGGGCTTTATTTCTGTCCCATCAGGGCCACTTCAAATCCCTTTGCTATTTGTGCTGTTCTCTAGATCTCTGTGCTCCTCCCCTCGGTCGTGTCATATGCTGGGCACAGTCCCCGGATAGCACGTTGTTAGGCTCTTGTAGTTCTTTCCTAGTCCCTTATTGTTATAGCAAGTACCACAATAGCACATTTACTGTAATAAATTGCATCTGTCTTACTGAATGGCTCTTAGATACCCAAAATATTTTCTGGCTGCGTTTTGCATCATATTCCGCAGTGTTCACATTCCTCGCTATGGGTGATTTATATCACATTTGCCTTATCCAACATATTCTTGGCTTCATTTTGCCAATCATCTTATTAATCACAGCTTTTGCATTCAAAGGCACTTGTCCCCTTTTCTATTCCTTTCTGAAAACTAAAACTGAGGTATAGGTAATTTCATCACACAAAAACATTAAGATCCAGGTTTAGAAATGTAAATGGTGTGAGTTGCGGGGAGAGTGTTTGTCTTTCACGTCTCAGAGTTAAACAAGTTTATAGTTAGAAGTGCTCAAGATATAAACAGGAAATGAGCTACATAAACTGTGAAATAAGTATGTTTTATAACAGTACTGAAAATTACATTTATCAACAGGCTGAAACAAAAACCTACTACATCCATTTAATGTTCATCCTCTTTCCTTTCCCCCAGTGTTTTACAACTGTTAATGTTCTTTGCACTGGAAAAGTTTTTAATCAAATTCCAGACACTCTTTCTGGAGTCCAAGTCGCATGAGAACCTCTAAATGAGATTTAAAAACACTCCATTCTTCATATCATCTCAAGGGGAATTCGTGTTTATTGGGTACCTAAAATGGGTTAGGATATGTGTCCTATACTTTAGAAATAATACTTCTAAGAAAGTTCTACGGTAGACACAGTGTATTATTTTAGAGATGGGGAAACAGAGGGGTCAGAGGCGTTAACTACCTTCACAAAACTCACAGCATTATAGGTAATGGAGTTCATTGGTCCCGGTGGTTGGATTCTACTTGAATCTCTGTGAAGCCGTATTATTGCCATTACATCCTAATACCCATTATCACAGCACAGGTCCCTTTAGGATACAAGGCCTCCTCAAGCCACGGCCCCTGCTCCTGACATCTTGCCTTTTGTCTATAGCATTATTCACGTGCATGCTGGGCCTCCCAAAGAGTTGGGATGTCACATTTATTTTTGTCCCCCAAACTTTAGGGTTATCATTCTACCTTCTGTGTCACAGGTGTCTAGAGGCCCTTACCAAAGGTTTTTTATTTGTTTTTGTTGTTGTTTTTTTAGACAGGGTGTCACTGTGTAGTCTAGGCTGGCTTTGAGTTCATTATATAGCCCAGGCTGGCCTCCAATCCCCCTGCCTCAGCCTCCCGAGTGCTGGGATTACAGGTGAGTGCCACCACGCACTGCTGGCAAATGGTTTTGAACAAAACAGAGCCTTAAAAAATTTGCTTCAAGGGGCTGGGGATTTAGCTCAGAGGCACAGCACCTGCCTGGCAAATGCCAAGTCATGAGTTTGATTCCCGGTACCGGAAATAACCAAGAAAAAAACCAAAACAAACAAACAAAAAAACTTGCTTCAAGAATGGAACACTGACAAGGAAAAGTGAAGCCTGATAATGCTGAGGTGATAAACAGCTTAAAAGGCAGGACCCTTGTCTGTCTTGCTTTGCTTGAAATAAGCCCCTGGTAAATGCTTTCTAGGTTACAAGTCATTTCTATTTCTTGGGTTTTCTTCTGTGACAAGAAGCAAACTACTGAAAACCACCTCCTAGGGAAATTTTTAGAAGACTTTCAAGAACTTTTATGTTCAGGTAATTCTCTTCCCCCTGTACAGAAGATACATTTTGGCACTGATTTTTTTT